CTCCGGGTGCGACTGCGACTGCGACTGCGACTGCGACTGCGACTGCGAGTCACCATCTCTCCGCCGCGATAGCGACCGTCTCCTCCGGGCGCAGATTCTTCTTGAGTTGGGCGCTTGATCAACTGGGAAACACTGGCTTTACAAAAGTGGGCCTGCTCTCTAAGTTGCCCAAAAACTATTTCAAACTTTCCGCTCGTGGGGTTGGCGGCCGAAGTCTCTAGCATTCTCAGCGATCGATTCTGCTTAGCGTCGATAGATGTGTTTGTTTTGGCTTGCCCGGCCTTCCACCGCTACTCATGGCCGCGCCGGCCTCAACTGCCACCGCCGCGCCGGCTTCAACTGCCACCACCGTGCCAGCCTCAACTCCCACCACCGCGCCGGCTTCCGCTGTTCGCTCTCAGGTCACACGTAGCTGTAGCTTTGAGCCCAACAGCAACATGCAGACTCAACTGAGCTCGGGCCCAAGATGATGGTGCCATATGCCATGTGGCAACACTTGAAGCTCAAACAATGAGAGTCCGACGGGGCCAACATTTCTGGGCCATGGTGCTGAATAGCCGACTGTTTCACTCATCAAATCATTGCTGCAATTAGATCAAACACTGAGACCTGGTGAGTGGATTGACTGGCCAGAAAAGTATGTATGAACTGTTGTTTATCGCTAAAGTGGTCTTCCCGAAAAATCTAGAGTCCGCGAACTCAGGAAGTAGGCACAAGGAGGGCGCACCCGGCGCACTGCCGCCAGCCGCCCGCAGGTCCAGCGAGCAAGACCGCTGACACCCCCGAAGGTTTTCCACAAATATGGCTGGATAGCCATTCTGTACGTATTATGGGGGGGGGGGGGTTTCAAAGAACCAAAGGCGAATGGATGGCCCTGACCTAGTTGTGCCCCTCAAAAGCAGTGCCCTCTATTAGTATGAAAGCACAGACTAAAAAGGATTCAAAATGCTGCGCGCAGGCGTGTGGCTGCAACAAAACGACCCCTAGATACGCTTGCAATTTGCCTCCAGGTTGCATTTCAAGCAAGCCAACCTTTGCAGGGCTAAGAAAAAAGCAAAAAATAAGAGAAAAAAAAGGTCCCCAAAAAGGGGTCCCGAAAAAAAAGGGAAGGGGGTTCTTGGCAAAGCTTGACCTTGCTTGAAACGCAAACCGTGATAGCCAAACCAGCGCAAACTGTTGTAAGGGGTAAAGCCCAATAACCACAAACGCACACTCTATATCAGCAGCGCGAATGAACCTGTTTTCTCTCTCACTGATCGATCACAGGCGAACGTAGTTCATGGAAGACCTTGAGCCCTACTTGCAACTTGAGCCAAATGTGGCAACCAAAAGGGACGTTCCAATCAACAAGAACATGGACCTCAGAACAGCTCCCCAATTTAGGCACGGGGCCAGGAGGGTTTTAACACGTAGCATCAGGGTCGTTGTCAGGCTTGTGGTCCATTTCGTTTGGGCGGCATCATACCTGAGAACCAATGCGCGTAACTCCTGGTATGTTGTAGCATCTGTAACAACTAGGGCACAATGCTGACGAAGTTGACCATTCAAGCATTTCAACAGAATCGAAATCTTGTGGCTCTCACCCAAACTTCTGCCAGCAACTGCTTCATACTCAGACATAGCACTTTCCAGCTTTGAAATCTGCAGAGTCAAACCCTGTTTCATGTGAAACGGATGCCATTTTTGCAGAAGCTGAAAACGTGAGCGTGCGCGACCTGGAATTCAGGATCAAGTCGCTGTTCAACTGCCTCAACGCTTCATAACCATTCACGTTTTGCTACACTCTTGAGAATCTGCATGAAAAGTCCAGCTAACACAGCATAGAGGGTTCTGGTGCGTCTTTGCGTGTCCAAAGCACGATATGCATCTCATCTATGAATCCCATTGTCCCTAGCTTGAACACCTTTTTGACCGTGAGACTGCTGTCTCACAGCCTGAGCGTTCACCAACTCCTGAACCTGTGTCGCCGACTGCTGAGCAATCTGCAAAGCTGCTGTTTGCAACTGCGTGAACCACTCATCCCGTTCTGAGCTTGTCCCTGATCCATCAATACCAAAGCAATATTCAGGATGTGACCAGTGGAACCATCAAAGCGCAACCTGCTTTCTTTTCACCTGCGCCAAGACGCCTGCAAGTAAGTCGGAGTCTCATGCACACATGCAAGACTGTGTGAAAACTAACGTGGTGCACAACCAAGTCAAGACACGTATCCACAACTGTGCGAGCTAAATGGTTAGCAGTTTCGAAGCAAGCTATTTCGCGCTGGGCCTCTTCGGTGAGGCGCCCTGGACTTCCTGCAAATCCAATTTTTCTGCAAACCAGGAAACGGACCGGCTGGAGCCGCCTGCGCCCGCTTTGGCGCCTGCGGCACATGCGTCTGCGGCTGCTTTGCGCGCCAGGATTGGCTTGCTTCGCCAAATCTGCCTGAAACCATTGAAGAAGCCATTCTATGTTGGCTCTGCTTGTTTTGGACAACCAAGTTTGCTCGGCAGCGGGGTCTGCTACGCCACGCTGTTTTGTGACTGGGCACCACGCTAGGCAAGTCCGACGGGCTGCGTACTGGGGTTTGCTGGTACGCTAACACCTTTGAGCCAAACGGCATGAAAATCCCGCGTGCGTTCACTGAGATCATGCAGCCTGGTGGCAAGTGCAGATCTGCATATATTGGCGCAAGTCAAGATCTCAATTCCAGGCTTAGGCTGGTGGCCCAGACGAGCAGCCCCAGGACTTGCTCCAAAAGCTTTCTCTTGATTCTTTTTGATCGGAGCAGGGCATGCAGTTGCTCCTTAAGCTTAAGGGTTTTAAGCGGTGTGAGATCGCTGGTTTCCAGGAGGAAATTAATGGACCATCCGCACCAAGTCAGGCAGTTTTGGAATTGCACTTTCTTCCAGGAAATGGGCGCACTGATGGCTGCGAAAAATATGACAAATATCGCAAGTTGTTGATGCAAGGTCGTACACAAACAACCAAGCTCTGCGCCGGCGTGCTGATAAAACCCCGTGTAGCAGCCTGAGCAAGAATGCTCCTGTGCGTTGCCACCAGTACGCGGAGAACCGGGCTCCGAAGTGGCATACTCGGTAATGGTACAGAGTGTCCGCGAAGCGAAAATGGAGCAACCTGGAGGCAAATTGCAAGCATATCTAGGGAGCCACACGCCTGCACGCAGCATTTTAAATTTCGAATCCTTCGCAGGACGAGGTCGTTTCCTGGACGGACAAGTGTCAGGAGACCAGGCGCAATAGAATCCGTTTGGGAAACTTCCTGTAAAGAGAGAGCTTGGCCTTGTCAATGTTGATCCATTGTTGACTCAACATTGCCTCAATATCGACTCAACATTGACTCAATATTGCCTCAATATTGACTCAACAATGAAGCCTCCACGCCGACCGAGCCGCGCCACGTTCGAAGCCTCGACTGGTCATACGGTCATACGGCCACGCTTGGCACTTTGGGAGTGCGCCATGCGCCACGTCCCTGCCTGCCTGCCGAGCCCGCCTCGCTGTCGGAATTCTTCCCAGCAAGGACGGATTGCTCCAAGCTTCCGATTTGCTTTTAACTGTACCTTCGGCTTGGGCGCTGCCTTGGGCTGCCTTGGGCATGGGCTTGGGCGCTGCCTTCATGGGTTGCTAAACTTTTCCTTTCTCTGCATCTGAACGCCTTGATCCAAGGTCATGAAACACAGTCTACATGCTCCAAGCATTTCATGCTGTACACAAGTGACAACAAAGCGAATGCAATTATTAGCACCCCGCCTTGAAATCTCCTGACGTCTCTACACAAGGGGATTTCACATCCAAACAGTCACCTCCTCATGTACGTGAAAAAGGCTCATGCAAAAGAATTGCGCACACCAAAGTGAAACTCTAAGCTCCTACACCGTGCCCATGCGGCTCCAAGCCGTGGCGTAAACCGGTATCCACTTTTCTCAAGCTTCCACATCTCACTTGTTTCTTGGCCATCCAAAGCAATTTCGGCACGCTGCCTTCCCATGCGTCTCCGCAAAAGATTTCAGCATTGTTTTCGTCTCTCTGCCTGCAATCCACTTGCATCCCTTCTTGTGAAAGAAGGCTCCACGCTTTGTCACATAAACTGCCATCTCACTGCCAGAAACAGCCGCGTTGCTGCTTTCAAACAAACCCAATGCACCCAAGCTGTTTGTTGGACAAACAGCAACGCAGGTCAGGAACAAATTCATAGGGTTTCTTCTGCGCTCACTTTGGGCTTAACACTTTGCGTGCACCAGGGATGCCATTTTGGGAATTTTGCTGAGCGCAACGGCTGCGGCCCAGGTCCTTGGCTTCCCTTCAAAGGGATCTCCCTAGCACGGCTGGCTGTGCCACAAGGAGGTGCTGAAAAATGCCTGCGCACAAGCAGCTTTGAAGCCATTTCAGCATGTCATTGCCCTCCCGTATTGTCAAACCAGGCGACTTAACATCACCTGCAGGGTTGGCTAAATTTCGCTCGACAGCAAAGTAATTGGTTAACCCTGCGGCTTCAGCAAGCGGTAACTCTTGCGGAACCTGCAAACACTTTGAGTGTCAAAGGATTTGCCCATTGTACTCGAATAATTGTTTTGCGCACGTGCTGAAACATGGCGGTCAACTCCGGCTGCCGCACCAAAAGGGCACACTTGAAACCGAAGCACAGGAGTCATTTGAGCTGGTTCAAGACCACCCTCAAAGTCGTCGCGCGAATCTATTGGGACATGTCATGAATTGGTACATTGTTACAGGTGTGCCTACCAAAAGGCAAACATACTACTCCAATAGCATTGCGGATTCTCTCGTTCCGTCTCGGCTTCACAGAAACTTCAACGAGCTTCGTCTTCGCCGCCCTGTCAGCTGCCACCATTTGCTGCAACGAACACCTGCAATAACTCAAAGGTGAGGCTTCGGCGCAGAGGGGCGACTGCTGTAGGTACCCCTCATGATGCTACGCAGATACTGTCTGCAAAAACCAAGGCCAACCCGCAGCGCTTAAGCGCCCCTAACCCCAGCAAC